GTTTCCGCAAAACGCACTACCACTTGAATTCGCTTCTGAAATGTCGCCATTTCACTTTCAACTACTCTTTCTTACTGACACATGTTTACCTTATAGCTTATTTTTTGATTTGCTTCTATTATCAGATTAAATAATAATTCATCAATAGTTGCAATTTGTTTACTCTAATGGACTCAAATGTATGAGGGTAGAAAGAACATCCACATAGTTTAACAACATTTTAAGAAATATTTTACATACTTATCATACTTAACACATACTTAAACCATACGTATATTTATACTTTTGATTACATATGTTCAATTTCAACGATTAGTTTTTATTAGTATTCTACTCATCAGTTTCTATTTCCCATTAAGGAATATTTATATTACTTGTTTCTAATGCTCTCATAATCTATTGGAAACAATAATGTCTCATCGTGCATTTCTACGCCTTTTTTTAATTCATGTACAGAACTGAAAAGTTGCTTGCCCTCCTGTGCCCTAATCTTTAAGGGATCTTTCTTCTCTTCTTATTGCCCCTTGCCGCATCTTGCTGTAGTCGTTCCCTTGATCTCTGACAACAACTCTACCTCGTTTCATGTCAACCTCTCGTTTCTTCTACATCTCTCTTTCATTCAGTTAATCCTCCGTGTTCAATCATGGACAGTTTTGTATTCTTATATCATTATGAATATGTCGCAAAATCGATAATTCGTCGAGCCATAAATACTTAATCGTGTTTTTAAAATGAATTATTGTGTGACCAGGGGTTGAATGTCACATTTTGACGTCCTTGAATATAGTTTGAATGTACTCGCAGTTGGAGCATTGGAATAATGAAATGGGGTGTTTACAACCAGAAGAGCGCCCTGCCGTGGTCGGGAATGAAAGTCCCAGCGCCAGAGGCCGCTCGGCTGCCCTGCGCTGCGTGAGGCGCCTCCACGGGCGCTGCCTTCCGCTGGGCTTCCGCTTCCACCGCAACCGCGCACCGCCCCGGCCGCGCCACCTCGCCACCGCCCGCTCCCTCGCCGCCCACGTCGCTCCTCTCGCCAGCCTGCCCACCTCTCGCCGCTAATCGCCTGCCCGCTCGCGTCCAATTGCTCCTCGCTGACCCTTGTTGCTTCTCGCCGCTCTACTCGCCTCTCTCCTAGCCACTGTCCTTGCCGTTATTCTCGCCGCTTTCCTAACGTCGCTCCTCTGACCCTTCTCGCCAGCCTGCCCACCTCTCGCCGCTAATCGCCTGCCCGCTCGCGTCCCATTGCTCCTCGCTGACCCTTGTTGCTTCTCGCCCCATCCTAGCCCATGTCCTTGCTGCTCTCCTCGCCGCTCTCCTAGCCGCTCTACTTCCGGTCTCGTAGCTGCTCTGCTAGCCACTCTACTCGCCGTTCTCTTCGTCGCTCACCCTGCCGCTCTTCTTGCCGCCCTCTTCGCTGTTCTTTGAGCCGCTCTTCTAGCCATTTTCCTAGCCGCTCTCATCATCACACTCGTCATTCTCCTCGCCGCTCACTTCGCCGCTCTTCCAGCCGCTCTCCTCGCCTCTACTCGCCGCTCTCGTTCCCGCTCTCGTACCCGCTCTCCTCACCTCTCTCCTCGCCGCTCTCGTCCTCACTCTCCTCCTCGCTCCTCATTGCCGCCCCTCACGTCGTTGCTCCTCGCCACTGCGCTCACCTCTTTCTCGCTGCTTTTCGCTGTTCCTTGAAATCCCTCCACCTCTCGCCCTCGCCGCACCGCTCCTCACGTCTCTCTCCCGGCGACTCCTGCAGGGCGGCTCCGCGTTGGGGCGGCCGCCGGTGCCCGCGCGCCCTCGTATATCACGTATCCAGCCGCACTTATTCTCCTTTTTTCCACGCGGGTCCACTTTTTCCCTCTCCCGCGCCTCCCACTCCGCAGCCTTCCCTTCCTTCCCTTCCTTCCGACGCCGCGATTTATGATTCCCCTCCGGCCGGTGCACTTAGGGTATTCATTCGATCGCGCTCTGCGGCGGGCGGGGTGGCGGGCTGGCGGGGGCGGGGTGGGGCGGGCGGGGGCGGGGCGAGGCGAGCGGCGCGGCGAGCGGCGGACGGGCGCGGCGGCGGAGGCGGGGGCGGGGGGGCGAGCGGCGAAGCGGGCGGCGCGAGCGGGCGGACGGCGCTGGCGGGGGTGGGGGCGGGCGGGGGCGGGTGGGCCGCTTTTTAACGCAATATTCGCCGCGCGCGGATCGGCACGTCAGCCAAACGAGGCCGTGATTCGGGCCGCGTCGGATCCGCCCCTCTTCTCGTCCCTCGTCGCCTTTATTGCGCGCGCGTTTAGCTGACTTGTTGGCGGTTTCTCGGTCGGGAAATATCGAAATCGCGGCCAGTGTGTTTTATTTACGCGCCATTACAAGATAGCGACTTCATTGGGCGAAACAAATGGTACGGAGGACTTTTTCATATTTTTTTTTTAGAATATTCTATCTTTTCTCAACAAGCGCTTTCTGTACCTGCAGGTGTAATAGATTTACAGGAATAAAATGTTTTAATTTAAAACAATATTTAAACAAAGTGAATGCTCGCGTAGATTTAAATTAAGTGCAATGTGTAAAAAAGAGGTTCAATGGATTCATTGTGTATTGTTAGGAAAATTGACTACACATAAATATTGTGATATTCAATGCACTCCGAACATTTGGATGAATCTACGGAAGAATTTATGTAAAAATTTTACTCTTTTCAAAATAAAATATTCCATTTCTCATCACCTTGAATGAAAATGAAACCTTAAACGGTATACTGCCGAATATAGCGAATCGTGTCAATTGCGCCGGGGGCACAGCGTTAGCGAAGTTGTTTGGGGGTGAGGTTTCCAGGCGCCTGGAGCCGCGGGCGCGGCGCCGCAGCAATTACAGAAGCGCAAGTTTTTAGGCGTTGGATCGCGCGTGATAATGGAATTGCGAAACTTGAGGCGCGCGCGCGGGGCGTGGGCGAGGGTTTTGGCGCGAGAGCCCGCAGCGGTAGAATGCGGCGCGATGGGCGCTCGTGGCCGCGTGCGAGACGGCCGGTTAATACAGATGGCTGCAATGGGGTGACAATGGCGATAGTAGAAGTGATAACGGCGATGGCAATGAGGTGGCGATTTTTCAAGTATACCTGCGGCTAGCAGTCACAATGAACCTACAAACTCCATGGAACTCCACTTACGTGGAATAAGAGGTGAAGTGAAAGGGCTCGTGCATTTTCTTGGGGCTGCTCCAATTTCTTTTGACTCGTGTATTCACATTCTGTATTAGCAAGCAAATCAGTCAGTTACGCACAGTTTGATTAAAATGTCTTCGAGATTTCCCCGAATTCGCATTATGAGATTCAGAGCCATGGACCATCACACCTACTTTCGCAATCATAATCATCAATGCACAAATATGTGAATAATATATGAAGTAAATAAATAAATAAATAAATAAAATAAATTAAATATAAAGTAGAGGAGGTTGTTTCCACATGTTTATGACGTGTACTTAATGCATTGCTCAGTGCGACGGATGTGGAGGTCCAGTGGCGTCCTAGCTAGGGCGATGAAGCGAGTGCGGGCGAGGGTAGGTGGGGCGGGCGGGCTGGCGGGCGGGGGCGAGCGGGAGGAGAGAGCGGCGTGCGCGGATGTGGCGGCGGCGCGTGCGGAGCGCGTCGGAGGCGGAAGCGGCGCCGGGGGCGGTGCAAATGGAGTGCACTGGCCCAGAGCGGCGTCCGGGGCCTTCGCCGCGGGTCTCCAGACTATCGATTGTAGGTGGGCCTCCGCGCTGTCCCGCGTTGGCAGTCCGGGCCACTGGCTCAGCGGTTACTGCGCCGCCGCCGCTCGGATTTATGGCGCGGGGCTATCGAAGCGACACCATGAGGCATTTTTCCGCTCGTTTTCACTATACAAAATGTTCCAAGTTTCTTCCCACGTTTGCCTACTTTTTTGTAGCTGTCGTGGGTTCTGTTTAATATTTTATGATGGAACTTCACAACACCAGAGGCACTGTAACCCACAAATCAATAGCCACGACTCTTATCCAATTTTCTTTTTTAAATTAATGGTATGTTTCTTTAAATATTCCTAGGATTTCAAGAGTGTTTATTTTGTGTAGATGTATTGAGTTTACGAATCATACTCTTTGAGGAAATTATTGTCTAATTCTCCCAGTTCTCTACAAGCGTTATTTCTTCCTCTGGTTGCTTTAAAAATCAGGTAAAATATTTAAAATGCTCAACCCTTTTGTGATTAGCTAAATTTTAAAGTGCGCAATATATATGTCAATTAATTTGCTAAGATAAATTAGTTATATTATATTCCAAAAAAGATATGCAAAGAATTGTAATACTCGTTTTTGGTATACCATTTAATAAACTTACGGTTAGATTACTGCAGAAAAAATGCAGAAAAGATGAATAAAGAGGTGAGGCAAGATCAACAGTTAGTGAGGGTTTCTTGAGGAGGAAGAGGAGGAGAAGAAGAAGAAGCAGAAGAAGTAAAATAAAGTAAACTTGGAGAAATCCTTAAATATTTTTGTTCTTGGAAGGTTTATATACATTGCATTTATACACTATTTCATTGTAAATATTGTGGTCTCTTCCCAAAGAGTTTTGCAAACTGTTTTTGGAGGAAGACTTATGCAAAAGTCTTGATGTTTGTTTCTCTTGTTCTCTTCTAACATTACTCGGGAAATGTACTTTTAAGCTTATTTTCCCCGAAAACTAGGGCGAGAAATAATTCAAGGGTTTCCGCAAACTCATGTTTTCGCATTTTGCAGTTACATTAGAACGAGTTAAAGAAAACATAGCGCTTACATTTTGTAAGCGAACTTCATTGTTAGAAAGATATACACCCAAACTCGCATCGAATAAGCCTCATCTACATCAATGTAAGAGACCTTTTTCATGCGGCAGCTCTGGGAACTCCACCCGGGCGCGGGAAGCCCTTCCTCGTCTCATCCCGCCCTCCTTGAAGCGGCTCCTCTCGTGTTCTGAGATATCGCCTCCATCTATAACGTTTCTGAAGCGAGAGTAAATAAGACGTGGGGCGTCAGAGAAGTTCGGTTCGGATTCGGAATGCAAGTTGTTCAAGCTCCGCGTGGCTTTCGATGTTCTCTTCTCTCGCCTCCTGTTTCCTCTTTCTTCTCCCCGCCGCCGGCGCCTTCCCAGCCGCGGGGGACGCTGGGTCGAGCCGCGGCCGGGACGAGTTTCGTCGCGGCGTATGAGGCGGCCGAGGGAGGTCGTGAATATTTAATCGAGTGCGTTTCATTTAGAAGACGCCTCGCGACCGTTCAGCGGAAGAATGATGTACTTGCCCCGCCTTCTGGGGAATGAAGCCGCAACCGAGCAGACGCTCTGGAGTCGAGCCTCATTTTTTGCAGCCCTGGTAAACCTAATATTCCGCATACTCGTAAACATTTGTTGAGGAACATGGTGGAGGATATTCCTTCTGCCCGAGATTTACTCTTTAAAAGTTTAGTGTTTCTCTTTAGTGGACGTCGGTCTAGTGTGAACGAAGGGTAAAATGAAAGACTTGAAGCTCTGAGAGAAATTGTTAATGAAATGGTATGTAAATACTACATATTCTTATGAAAATGGATGTCATTTGAAATTATTAAAACGTATAATCTGTGGAAAGTAGGTGATTTACATGAACACCTTATTAAGTAAAAATGCGTATTTCGCTTAAATTAGAATGCTCATGCGAATTTTAATGAAATGAAATGTGTCAATCATTACATTTTTGAATAACAATGTTTCATAAGACAGTACTTTTTTGGAAAATACATTTTCTGTCCCCTCCCCTCCCTAGACATACACTTTCATTGCTTTGTCCGATACTGAGTAAGATGTTCATACTTCTGTATCGTATTATATTATACACAAACAAATTAACTTGTTTCATCACATAATGTAACGTACACAACGTATTCATTTAAAGTCGTGCATATTTATAAGAAATATTGGACAGTTTGCGAGTTGAAGGTAAAAAAGAATAATATTTATCGTCTACTACAACAAAACGAGTACCTACCAATTAGAAAATGTGAATTAAGGTCTACATGAAATTACAGACTTTTGCGTATCTTCGATCATTTTTAAAATTTTTTTAAAACTAATTATTGCATCTTCCCCATAAACATTTATCCGAAACTGTGCAAATATTCAGTAATAATTGATAGGGAATTAAGGCGACTAATCTGTCCGAAATTGAAGACTTCTTTACAAAGACCGTCGCTTATTGCGTTGGAAACAAAAAAAAATGTAAAATTTGGCAATAGAATAAGAGAAGGGAAATGTTAATGCTTGCTGTCATAAATATTCAGTAGCATTCTGGAAAGAGCGAATAATTAAATAAATGCCTGATTCTTCTTGATGATGCTATCAAACATCTTAGATCTTGTGGAATGTAGGATGATTTCTTCAAATATTTAATAAATGTGAATGAATTTTAAACAAGTTTCAGTTTTAATTACTGAGGGATTTGAAATACGTTAACAAAAATACGAAAATATCTTCATATATTTTCATTTCATTGATGTGGGGAAAAATTGTTTCTGCGACTAATTTCAACATCAAAGAGACAGAGAAGGTAGCGTCTGCTACAGCGCCTGAGGAAAATTGGCAGACGAATAGGAGGCTGCGTAACGTGATACAGTGCCGCAGAAGGGCAGAGGAACATAGAGAAGCCCCCTCGGCTGTCGTGCGAATTGAGCTCAGAGCGCAGCAAATTCTCTCTTTCGCTCCCACGTTTTCAGTCGACCTCTGTATTCTCTTTTCCTCTCTCTCCCCTCTCCTCTCCGTCTCTCTTTCCCTCCTTCCCCCTCTCTTCGCCCTCCTTCCCTTCTCCCCTCTTCCCCTCTCTCACTCCCTCTTCTCCCTCTCTCCCTCATCTCCCCTTCTCTCCCCCTCTCTCCCTCACCATCCTTCCCCTTCTCCCCCCATCTTCCCCCTCTCTTCCCTCTCTTCTCCCTCTCTCCCCTCTCTATTCCTCTCTCATTCTCCTTCTCTCTCCCCTCTCTCTCCCCTCTCTCTGCTCCTCTCCTCTCTGCTCTCCCTCTCTCTCTCCCTCTCTCTCTCTCCTCTCCCTCTCGCCCTCTCCTCTCTCTCCCTCCTCTCTCTCCTCATCTCTTCCCTCTCTCTCCCTCTCTCTCTCAAACTCTCCTCCTCCCCTTCTCTCTCCTCTCTCTCCCTCTCTCTCCCTCCTCTCCCCCTCTCGTCCCTCTCTCTCCCCTCTCTCCCCCCTCTCTTTCCCTCTTCTTCTCCCCTCCTTCCTCCCTCTCTCTCTCCCTCTCTCTCCCTCTCTCTCCCTCTCTCTCTCCCCTCTCTTCTCCACCTCGCTCTCTCCCTCTCTCTCCCTCTCTCCCCTCTCTCTCCCCCTCTCTCTCCCTCTCTTCTCCCTCTCTCTCCCTCTCTTCTCCCTCTCTCTTCTCCCTCTCTCTCTCCCCTCTCTCTCCCTCTCTCTCTCCCCTCTCTTCTCCCTCTCCTCTCTCCCTCTCGATGATTCTCCCTCTCTCTCTCCCTCTCTCTCTCCCTCTCTCTCCCTCTCTCTCACTCTCCCTTCCCCTTCTCTCTCAATGCTTTCTGTGCTGGATATCCCATGGTTTGTCTTTCTCCGCTGCTCGTTCATTCTCCTCTGTTGAGTGCCTCTCACGTCCCGCGCTTTCTCTTCGTTCTCGCCCTATTTTCTCATCCCTCATGAATATTAAAGCTGCTTCGATTCAATTAAAATGCATGTAGCAGCTTGTGGCGAGCCGGTGGTGCGTTCGTTCCACGGCCAATACCGCCCACGCCCAGGTATCGGGTCAGAGCTGCTCCACTGACGTTCTCTTTCTGGCTTCCTGTAGCGGCTGCCCGGTAATTGTAGATGGAAGGGGCCGTGATTGAAACTATTAAAGTCGAGCGAGCATTAAAACGGCAATGAAACTGATAGCTAAGCCCGACACAGAGGGTTTTGTGTAGGCGCACGCGATTCAGAGGGGATTCCGGCAGAATTTACTGCGATATCTCATTTCGATGAACTGTCATAGCTGGAAGCGAGCTTCTGTAGCACGGGACCATCTTGTTAGTGGAAAAAGTACGAAAAAGTGTTGTACACTGAAAATGCAAAGAGTTAACAAATCTAGACAATGAATAGTCATGTTGAAATAGATGAAATAGGTCAAACTGTTTCCACTAATAAAATCTCGACAGGTTCAACCATTTTGTACTGAGTTGAATTTACCTCCTTCACTAATATTACAAACGACATTTTACTAAGCGATTTTTTACGCGCTGAATTAATATTTTACTGTTTATACATCTACTGCGATTGTAGTTTGATGAGTTAATTAACACTGTGTGGTTAGTTTCCTAGAAATCGTGACAAAATTGTATTATTTGCCATCAAATTGATGAGAGTTTCGAAGTACTGAAATTACGATGCAACCAATTACAAAGTAAAACACAAATTATTTACATTATATATTCCAATACTGATGTTGATTAACTCATTAACTTCGAAAACATTTATTAGATAAGATTAAATTATTGATCGCTGTCAATACTCTGTCATAAAAATCCTTCAAAATGTCTCTGACCGATATTCATCAAGTTAATACATACTTTTTCACAGATAAGAAATAAAGAATGGATTTAGTTCCCCGTTAATATGAAAGTAGCTGAACCGATCTGTAGCTGAGTAGAACTGATGTTCTGCCAATTTCGTGTTTAATACCAATTAGTATTTATTGTTATCCAAATGTATTATAAATAATATTAGATGACTTAACCTCTGTAACGTCTGAGTTTACAATAAGGTCGGCATTTTAGCCTTTGGAAATAGAATATCTGAGCCATCACATCTGTGCAACTAAATGGGACGGAAATCTGCAACTAATCGTCATAAATTGTATGAAAAAAGCCTTTAAAGAGGAACGGGGTGGTCGGGTAATCGGGTTATCTGCGACCGAGCCAAAAAGCTTCGCGCTCGCGCGCTTAACTGACACAATCGCACTTGTTCGCTGGCTTTTGAGTGAGTCTCTAGCTGCGGCGTCAATTGCCGTTTGTTTACGCGCCTGCCCGACGACAAATTCGCATTTGTGTCGCCGACTAATCGTCGATAAATGCGCAGACCAGATGGGGAAGTCGCAGCCGCGCATTCAGTGCTTGGCGCTACGTAAACTGCGCGGTGCGGATGATTTATAATCTCATTGTCTACGCCCGTGGGACGTAATGAATTAAGGAATACTTTTTCTGCTTAAATGTCGTTGACTCTTTTAAAACAATTACGTAGTCATTTCTTTCAGACTAACGTACAATGTTCTATCATCCGAGTATATATTTAACAATATTTTCCTGTATTTTCATTTTTAAATTGTAATTTTCATGAATATAATGGAGCTGCTCATCAACATCAGCAAAATAAGCCATTGAAATGAATGTTTCACTAGTAATAGAAGAAGTGTTAGGAATATGAGAGATCCTTTTTGCTTTGAAACCTACCAGGTGCCAGAATAACCGTAACTAAAAAAGTGAATTGCGTTTTCTTACTGCGTATTATAGAAAATGTGCTGTATTAACCTAAATGTTTTAGAACTAATACGTTTTACGTAATATATATTTTTTCTAAATAGTGGCACCACCAATAAATTGAAAACTCGGGTAGTAATACGAGACAATAGTGTTTTGCGTAGCAAAAAAACCACAACTGCAGTTGTTACAAAATGTTACAAAACGGCTTTATGAACATACACTTCAATAAGTTGACGAACACTATTACCTCCTTCATTTCTTGAAAAATCACAAGGTACGTCGAAGTAAATTGCACTTCAGTACAGAGCTACAAAACTTTTCACAGAACAACTAAATGCAAATGTTCATTTGGAGATACTTCGAATACTGAAGTGACTGGCAGTTGAGGAAATGCAATGATGATGCAACGTAACCTTGCTGTCTCATATTTTTACCCTATTTCACATTGCTACCTCTTCCCCTATAGAAAACCAGTTTTATAACAATTATTGGCCGTGCGAAGTGGGGCTCTTCTAGCCAAAAAGAACTTGGTCTATTAGAAGTGCATCTATTTGTAAGTAAATTTGTTTGTTACTCAGTCACCAGCAAAGGAGATATTTGATTTATTGGCTAATAATATTTGCAATAAAGAGCGCAGATATATTTTGAATTGTATATTAGTTTAATTTAATTTAAAAATTATGTATCCACTGAGGTGACAAATGTCGTGGGATACCTCTTAAGATCGTGTTGGACCTCTTTTTGCCCAGCGAATGC